AAGCTGCGGAAGCTGCGAACCATATGTTTTGAGGCTCGAAACTCACAATTATGTTAATACCATGGCCTTTCCCAGTTACAATGCCTCCAAAATCATCAAAGCTCTCAATGGTTTCCACACATTGGACCTGGCCTGCGGTTTTTGTCGTTCCTTTCGAGGCTTTGGGGCGCGTATCGGTTTCACCGAGAGCCCCTTCCCCGCTGCAAAAACGAGGTGATTTGCATGGTGGTGGGTGCGATCGGCTGCCGCGAGGGCTTGACCACCTCGCTCTTGGCGCGTTGGACGGGCTTCGGCGTGGTCGGCTCACAGCTCCTGAGCTTCATCGTGACGCTCAGCTTAGCGGCTCGATGAAGAAGGAGGCGCACCAGGTGACGAAGAACGGTCAAGGAGACTGGTTGGACTCACCCGTGACTCAGGTTGGGTGGAAAACCATGGAAACTTGACCATCAATCAGTTCTGCCTGAACAAACGTTCGACCTGACGACCTATACGAAGCACCAACGATTTCAGCCAGGGTCGTCAAACTACGTCGGGTCATCGCTCGGGTGTCCCGGTGCTATGGACCCACAGTGCCATGGGGGAGCTGGACGGAGAAGGAAGGAGGATGTCTTTCTTCGCTCGTGGTGCTGAAGAAGAAAACGATCACAGTCATAGGAACGATAGATCTGAGACAAGGATAGATCTGGCGCCAGCGGAGAAGCACCTAAGAGAAGACATGCAGAGTCATATAGATGGCGCAATGCCCAAAAGGAAGTTGATGCCATCTACTCTGAAACCATTGTAAGCACTGTACGGCACTGCCACCCTCACTTCTTTCCAAAAAGACAGATCCTCTCCACCATGGCCTCTGGCCTCTCCGCATTGGCCCAGGTGAGTTGGTTCGGAATCCAGGCGGCCATCGCCGGAGAAGGCTTGCACACCATCACCAGCGGCATCACCAGTGCCTCGGTCCGTCCAGACCCTCGGCGGGCGGTGGGCGAGTCTATCCGCAGCTAAGGCAACCTAAGGGGTGGTTCCCCCCCAAAAGAAACACCATAAGAATTCAGACTCATGTTTTTGAGTCACATAGAAGTGTGAAGTGCTCTGTGCGATTCCACAAAATAGAAAGGGGACGAACGGTCAGCACTCCGTATGAGACGAACCACTCCCAGGAACCCTCGTCATCCCGTTGTTCCAGGTGTTTTTTGATGTGTTTTTTTCATCCCGAGAAAACGAGAATAGAAAGAACATGAGTGTCAACAAGATGAATTTTGACATCAGCAAAGCTCCATAAGGTTTTGAATTGCTGTGAAATCCTGTTTCACGGATCGAGTTGGCCATGTCCCGAAGGTGTCTTTTGCCCGAAAAAGCTTCCAGCTGGGAGCCCACCCAGCACCCACCCAGTACCCGCCCAGCACGCCAGGTTTGCAGCTATCTTGGCCTTGGACCGCACTCAATGGTTTTCTGGTGGCTTTGGTTGGAACTCTTAATTATTGCCATCACTCTGAGCATGCTATATATTCCATGAGTTCTTCCATGTTATTGAGGCTTCTGGATGATAATTTTGGACGAGTGATCCTGACCGAATGATGCCTGAAGGAACGAAAAAACGCTACACCTGGCTTGTGGCTGTCTAAAATCACTCACAGTCTCTCTGTGCGTCTTCGCCAGGTGACGTTGGTGGCAGCCTTCGGCTTTCGCTACATCGTGGGCATCGCCTGGATCACTGGCCCGGCCTTTCTGGTGGCCGTCGTGTGGGCCTTGTGGCGCGTGGAGGAAGCACACGACGCCCGGTGGAAGAAGAACAGGGATGCCCAGAACACATCGAGGGATGCTTGGGGTGAAGGACTCCAGATGAGATTTGGGGAGAGATGTATTCAGATGTTGGAAGCAATTTGGTGCGGTTTTTTCTTGTGGAACATGTCGAATTTGTGGTGGAGTGGAGTGTAAAGACCTTTGTGGATCTAGATGGCGAGCAACTACAGGCCTGCTTTACGACCTAGCACAAGAAAAGAAGACCCTGAAGGGATATCTATAATTTGCTTTGCATGTCTTTCTTTGCCAAAACTATTGAGCAGGATGGGCTGCCAGTTTGGGGGGTGTTCACAGGAGGATAAGATGACCACTAAGATGCCTTTCTTCAGAATGCATCATCACGTCTCATCACGTCTCATGCACTTAGATTTCCGGAGATTCAGAATGTCATCCAGGGTCCACGCCCTCCAAAAAGTCATATGACATATGTTCATTCAGTGATTCCGACCCATACCCATTCCACAAGGAAAGGGTCTTGCGTCATCCAACCGGGGAGAACCTGTTCTCCAACCCGGTTGTGTTCCTCCGGGTGAACATCGGAGCAACCTTCAGGGCGAAAGGCTTCCAACTGAGGGGCAAACCCTTTTGCATGAAACATGATGAAAAATCCTCGATCGTGTAAGCTTCCAAACATCCTCCCCCCTATCCAAGCAGTCCATGTCCCTTCGCACCACAGTACCCTTGGATTAAGGGTTCGGCACCTACCTGTCCCTGGTCTCCACGTGGCGCCGGTGCAGCTCCACGAGGCTCCCAGCGAAGACACGCAGCGCATGTCCGTGGGCGAAGGCGAAGACGAGACGGCACGAGAAGGGACGGGTGAGACTCGAAACTCTCGCACGCAGGCACGCGAAGCTGAGAGGATCACAGGGTCCCAAACAGGCATTTTGCGGGCTCCAAAGAAATTAGACTAGACTAGACCATCTTCAAAGAAAGGCGATGATGGCCAGAGATAGGTGAAGATGAACAAATGTGCCAATTCGGCATTTCTTTCTAAGGCCCGGCACGACAGTTGCGACAGAGCGGACAGAGGCACCTAAAAAAGCACCGGCACGGTGCGATGCGGTGCGGCAGTGCCTCGTTTTCATCGTGAGGCACGAACCTGGTGGTGGGCGGCTACATCGTCGGCTCGGTCATCGTCAGCGACGCCTTTCGCTTCAGCCGCAGCAAGCGACAGGCGGCAGCGGCGAGGGAAGGGAGCGGAGAAAGGCTGCTAGAAGCCCTGGGAAAGGCACGCATGCCGATGCTGTTAGCTCAACGGCATGCAGTCCTTCAATGAGTCGTTTGTTCAATGAGACTGGTCGTGTTGTTCATAGTTCGACCTGTTCGACCCTGTTCGACCTGTTCGACCCTGACGGGCTCTAAGAAGAAAGAAGATCGAACACATCTCATTTGACTCAGCTCTTGGGCTCTCAATCGATCCGCCCCACTGGACTCATTCTCGCTCACCTTCCATCACCTCACCTACATCATATTTAGATGCTGCATTTATGTATAGAATTAGATATAGCATTATATAAACTATACATTATACTAGTATCTTCTGTATTACATTGTATAAAGCATTCTGATTTCTTCACCTACATCCACACCGCCGTGATCCTCTAGCTTCTGATCCTCTAGAGGTGGTGTCTCAAGTGCTTCTGCCGCGATCCTTGGCGATTATCGGCTACATGTTGGCCGGGGTGCAGATGGCGCGGATGTGCGGCACCGACGACGTGATCCAGATCATGAAGCGAACCGTTGGCCTCTGGGCCGCTCGGACGAGACGAAGCGAGAGAGACGAAGCGCGTCATGCGCATGTGTGCTCTGCACGACGCTCGACCTGAGAAAGTAGGCCCTGAGGCGCTGCCCAGGTCTAAAATTCTGGCATTGCCTGGTGTAAGTGAAGAGGTGCACAGATTTATTTGATTTGAAGTCCAAAAAAGGCGTTTTGTGGTTTCAAGAACTCGATGTGGTCGCGGCAGTAGCCTTTTCTCCAAGAGCCTGCGATGAGACTATCAGGTACCTTCAACGTATGATTTTCACAGTTTGTTGAAGGGTCCCATCCTTGATACACCAAATCCTGTTCCCCTGGACGACATGGCGTGAACACCATGGGAAACCATGGCATTTCAATGTGCCACTAAGGTCAGTGCAATATGTTTCTTGCTTGCCCTTGAAACCCTCGGAATTCGGTGACCCATCAAGTGTAGCCCGATATTTCAAGTTTCATCGTTCAGAACTCGTGCTTTTTGATGAGCCAAATCCTTGCGCTCTTTTTGCTCTTGCACGTGCCAACAACTGTCGTCTGTGACTGCGATGCTATGAACTACTAATTACGTATACTTTTGACCTTGTTGCAGATCCACAGTAAATACATCCTTCAGCCGATCTCATGAGCTTCAGCCGATCCCAGACCGCACGATCTCGAAGGAACACCGTCCATCACCGTCGATCTCCAGACCGCGCGAGTCACGAGGTACACGGTACACTCCCAATCATCCTCAGTGGCTCCCAGTGTTTCGCCATGAGGAACCGTTGGGTCGGCTTTATATAGTCCTTTATAGAAGCCAGTGCCCAGACGCTCATGGACCCTCCGTTCAGTAGAGGCCCGGATCCGAACCAATCCCTAGGGTTTGCTTCGGGACCAGTCGAGCTGTGAACTCACGGAGCGTCATGGGTGGTGACCAGCTATGGCTTGCGATCCTCCATCGTCCCTTCTCAGGTCCTCGGCCGGGTGGGTCCTCGACTGGGAACGCGCCGAACGAAGGCGTTGGTGTTTCGACTGTCGACGGGGTGCGTCTCTCTCCCAAATCCAGGCGGTGGTCGTCGTGGTGGCTGGAGAGATGGTCATCAACTGCACCAACTTGTACTTCTCGGGCTTGGCCTTGGTGGCCATTGGAGAAGCTCGGGTCGAAGCGGGTCGAAGCGGAGAGGTTGGCTGGGGTGGGGGGGTGGCCGTGGAGCGCAGGTCGAGGGGAGGAGAAGTTGAGCGCAGGAGGAGGTCGACGGTGGACTCTCCCAGCGAGAGGTTTTGGGATCTTTGAGTTCGATCCAACTGAGGCGAGGGAGTGGGGTTTTTGGCTACCACCATGGATTGAAGTAGGCATGTGTCAGCATCCCATCCCAACTGAAACAGCCATTGTGGTCACAAGACCATTTGGGTTTGTGAAGTTGATTAGAGGCAATTTTTGCGCTTGGCACATTCTTGAGATGGTTTCATGACAGCGTAGGAACGACCGAAGATCAAGGATATCAGCAGGAGGTCGCCATGAGGGGGCTTCGATGTCGGCAGGCCAACTTGGCGAAGACATCGCCACCTTTCCAACTGGTCCACCTTGCTGATCGAAGCAACTGGTGCATGGCGTTGATCCAACTGGTCCATCCAGCTTGGTCCACCTGGCTGATCCCTTTGGGTGCCGTTTTTTCACCACGCGTCGCGCCGGGGAGCGAGGATCAGAGCTGCGGCTTTCAACTGAACCGCCCAGTGGTGACGATGATCTGTGGAGTGCTGGGAAGCTTGGTTTTGCTGAGATCAGGTGGATTCAGGTGGATGTGTTCTATTTTACGTATGCTGAGGTGTTGGTGAATCCCCCCCTTTGTGGCCCAAGATGTTCTTAATTCGTTGTTCACCGGTTGCTGTCACAGCAGCCTTTTTAAGGAAGTGTCTTCGGCGCTCTGGGTATCTTGAAGAAGTTCATCAGCTTCCTCACCGTGCTGGCCGTGGCCTTCCCACCAGTGCCAGGCAAGGTTCCGAGAAACTGCTGGGGTGTGTGAGGGGCGTGTGTGAGTGTGTGCTTTTTCCGGCAAAGAATGGATGTTCCACGATGTTCCTGATTATATAGGGTATATCCAGGTATCGATGATCACCAGACACACATCATGTTCTTCATGCCAGGGTGGTTGTTCCATGTTGATCCTGCAACAGCCAAGATCTGGAACATCAGCCATGTTGGTTGCCCCAAACCACCACCTTTTCTCGGCAAAGTGGATCACAGGGCCCATGTGGGGAATCGTTCGTGGGTGTCCCACAGAGTTTGGTTCAGGCTCACCATTGAAATCAACTCAAACGAACTGCCCAAGGTTTCAAGAAAAAAACAACCCACCACATGTGTGAGGACCTTTGTTAGGTGAAGGAACTGACGAACGCATGGAACCCAAGAAATGCAAGCTGAGTTTGATGGAACCAAGATATGAACCAAGTACCCTAGACCTCGAATTTCATCAAGCTGGGTCTCATTTCATCCCTGGACGGCTGAGGTTCCTCACCGAAAACCCCCAAGCTGAGGTGTCCCCCCTGTCCGTTGGCCTCGCGTGGAAGAACGCGCGACCGCGGTCAGGCATCATGTGCAGCGAGTACTTTCTGGTGAAAGCCTTCCGTCCAAGCTTGGAGGACTGCTCGAAGCTACGCTCGGTGGCCATCGCTAGTAGTTTGGAGGCCATCGCTACGAACGTAGCTTCTGCCCTTGTGACGTGCGTAGCTTGTGCGGTGAGGTGCGAACAGAGGTGCAGAAGATGCTGACACGATGCTCGCTCGTTCGTTGAAGTACCTATCCTTCTCTGCGCACGAAATGGTTGGAGTGGTCATTGGATTGTAGGGAGAGAGAGGTTTAAGGTTGCCAAGAAATGGTCGTTTGGGATTCTTGCTTCATAGACCCACTTCGAAGCACCAAGTACTAGTTAAGCCTGCTGCTGATGGAAGTGTTCAGCAGCGCCGCCTGGCATAGACAAGACAAGACACTGAAACAGATGTTAAGATATCATTGAACACCAAGTGGATGGCACCACTGATCCGACCCTTTTTCCATCCAACTCTGGTCTCTTAGAGTTGGCATGGTGCTGCATCCCCCACCTACCTCCCCTCACCTACCTCCCCTGGGTCCAGAGGAGTCGCGCCGTGCGGGTGGCGCTCTACCGAGCTGGGCACCCACGGTGGTGCCCTGGGCGCTGGTGATATGGCTCCTGGGAGCGCTGGCGGGGAAGTTTCTTCCCTTGGGCGCTCCTTATGCGTGCCTTGGCGGATGCGTGTGTTTTCTGGGGAAACGGCTCAGAAGGTTTTTGTGGGAGGCCTTCTTGGGGTGTGGACGACGGAAGGTTCCAGAGCGATACAGCGCAGGAGCGCACGATACAGCGCAGGAGCGCGCCTCAATGACGGCGCGCGCGCCGCGAACTGGAGAGGTGGCAGCACTGGTGCAAAGCTCCTGTAGGACTGGAAGTTAGAGCTGCTGAAAGGGTACCTTCGCGCACGAGCAGGGACTTGTTCTGTTTCTGCTCTTGGTTTCAGAGTCAGCTGCTACCCTACTCCTGATGTAGTAGCACTCACCTGGATGGTGGAGCATCGTTTTGCCCATCTTGCGACTTTCGTGTCAAGGACTCAGTTTCGTGTCAATGGGGTGAAGGCTCAGTTTCCCTTTTTGGGGCCCGGCCTGCAGAGAAAAAAGTAGCACAACTGTCCGTCATGCACTCCAGGTCAATCCACTTTTCGCCACTGAATGGACAGACTGGATGACTGATTGGGTTCTTCAATCAGCCTATCCGGCCCACCTGGGTGATCACCGTGCTCGGTGGGTCTGCCGCTCGGGGGCTCTGTGGAAATTTTCAGCTTTGATGTATTGGATACCCACCCTCCGGTCGTGAAGAAGCAGGAGCCAGGTTCCGCCAGACGCGACTACCATTGGCCCCCGAAACCACCCCAATGGCATATATGGCATACATGGAGCGTGGAAGCAGGAGCCAAACAGCCTTTCCCCACGAAGCGCCCAAGGCTTCGATCTTTCCCCACGAAGCTGGTGACACGGGTCGACCGAATCGGCCGCAAAAGCAAGCAAAAACAGATCCTTCGTCTGGCAGTTCACTTCAGGACTTCGATGTTGCTCCCGGCGTTGCTTTACTTCTTGGGTGCCCAGTGTGGTCTCAGCAGCCGTGTTTACGGCAGCAGCCGCACACAGACCTGTCGCGATGGAGATCCCGACCGGTCCACGTGAGCGGTGCGGCCGGGCCACGTGAGCGCGGAGAGGAAGGGCGAGGACTCGGACGAAGGAAGATCGAAGTACTTGGGTACTTCGAATTCAGCTCAGGATAGAGAGGAAAGACTCTTAATTTTATAAAGACACATCACCCCCTAGAGCGCCCTATGGTTGACAAATGGAATGTGTGGTCCCGTTAAAAAAAAAGAAATCTGTCATGAAATGGAGGAGATTCTGTGATTTGGAGTTGTGGTTCACTTAGTGAACTTGGCCTTCGAAGGTTCTGAATGTGTCCTCACCCCCAAACAAAAAGCAAAGCAAAGATTCGGCAGTTGCATGCACTGGTTTCACAACGAAGCTCGTCAATCAAAGGCTATGCCACTAGCAACCGTGGCCGGTGAGGGAGGTGCTCAACAAGTAACGTCCTTCCTTCGACCGGGTCCGCTGTGATGGAACTGGATTCTTGGACAAAGGGGACTGCCCTTTTGAGGAACACAACTGACATGTACAACAACAAGAACTGGAAGTTTTCTGTTTTGTAAGAAAAGGAAGAATAGATTTTCAAGGGCAGAAGTAGATAAGGCGGATGCCAGTGGCCATCTCATGTTTGGCTCTTGCGTTTGTACATACTCAGCCATGCGGTACCCGATCGCCAGTGCTTGTCGAGCTGTATGAGCTCACTCTGGCAGGTTGGAGCCAATGTTTCGGAGAGGTCAGCGAGGATGGTTTAACATGGACGTGTGACCCCAAAACCATCATGTAGTTGTACAACACGTAGCTTGCAATGTGCCGCGACGCACGAAAGGAATGCGGACATATGGTTTTCTTGAGGTCTTTCTTAGTTTCAACATAGCTTCATCAATTAATCTATTTGTTTGCCTGGTTGTTCCCTTGACCCTCACTTTCTACAGCTCCAACCAGACCCAATGAGTTTCATGCGAAAAAAAGAACCTTAAAGACGCCAAGTTGGACCAACAAATGCTGGAGGCAATCTTCAGTTGATCTGTTGAGCAAGTTGAACAACAACAACCACAACCACAACCACGACCACCACAACAACAACAACAACATCCACAAGAAGAACGACCACAACAACAACAACAACCACAACGACCACGACCACAACAACAAGAAATTGGAGTTGAACATTTAAATGTCTTGAAGTTTCTGGTCCCTTGGAGACCTTTCCCAACCAGCGGATGCATCGAGCAGCGCCCAAAGATCGGCGCCTGCAGACGTTTGAGAGGCTCCCTTCAACAAGCTGAAGATGGATGGAAAGACCTTGAAACCTCAGAATCCTCAGAACTCAATTTCAGATTCAATGTTCGGTTTACAAGGTGGCCAAGCGCCGGTGCGTTCTGCTGCTTTGCCATCACTCACAGCTCGAGCCTTCTCAGTCCGCTCCTCCAACAGCCTCGGCCCGAGTCGAGTCAACGGTGAGGCGGATCACGCCAGTGCGGACCTCTTGCTGAACGCGTTCATGGGAAGCCTATCGGTGGTGTTGAGGCGGGCTCGAGGCGAAGTCGGCCAGCTGGGCGGCCGTTGTTCAAGCACAGACCTGGCGGTTCGGCAACAGCAGAGTCTGAGACAGTGGATGGTTTGACAGTCACTTATAAGTCTTAACCCACACACTCCATGGGATGGCCATAGGACTCCCGCCCCAGACAGACCCTCAGTCAGACCAATGACTCTACAAAGGATTTCTCCAGGCAAGTGACAGCAATCGACCCTCACACCGCACCTTACCGACCGAAAACCACAACTCAAAAGAAAAGGATGTGGTTCGTCGTCGAAAGCGAACACCCATCAGAAACAGATGGTTTATTCCGATGTGGCTTTCTCCAGATCCTTCACATACAAGGTGGTTATTAGATAAACATCCATTGCTTTCTTTGGGGGGTTCTGGGCCGAAAAGGTGGGATGGGAACTACTCCACAGCACCCATTCAGCGGGGCCATGGCGGCCAGACGCCACGGACGTAGACTGGCTATGTAGGAAACCTGCAGCCTCCGTATCAACATCCGTATACAACATCTGCCGGATCGTTGTGTGATCATAGACCCAACAAATCGGAGAGAATGGTGCATCTTCATGAAACGCTTTCCGGGTGCCCAGAATCGGCCTCATGAGTCTAGTGATCAGTTTGGGACGCCAAATCCTCTTTCGGTCCCCGCTCCTCAGCGATTCCTCGCCCGCCCGGAGGTCCCGCGGCACGGGAGACGCGAAGGTGAGCAGCTGCGGAGTTCGGCATCGATGGTCTTGACGTTGAGGATGTTTAGGGGGGGAGTTCATGCTGGAAATAGAAGGTTCGGGGGCCATCGCTGGTAGAGGGGGGAGTTTGGAAATGGACCTCGGATGCACCCAGCAATGTCGATGGTGGTGAGTACAGTGGTGGCGTATTGTCAATCGAAGCTGTCCATCTACAGCTTTGAGTCAATCTACTGAGGTGGTTCTCCAAATCGATTTCAACATTGGGATTCATCCTTTAAAGTAACTCATTAGGGAGACCCCAAACCAATGGGTAGACTGGTCTATTTTCCTTCTTCCAGGAGGTCGAACTGGGAGGTCTCCCTATGTGTATACCCCAAAATGTGCGTTTTCTGGGCAGAAGCGGGACAGCCTTCGTTGTGTGTCCCGGACAGGCCACCAACGCCACAAATGTACGGAGGCAAAAGATCAGACGTGACGCACGGATAGGTTGCACACCAAGGCGTCACGTGTACAACAGGTAAACTATGATGAACCCTGAGCGGAGCCTTTTGATGTCTCACAATGTTTCATGCTGATACTACTGTGTCCTTGGTAATTTAGAATATTGAGCTCGTTTATCGAGCTTTTATAAATTGTGCTTGATGTTCGAAGATGCTGCTCTGGGACAACTGAACGACAATCATCAGTTTCATTTCTACAAATGAAACTCCACAAGTGGCATGGAGGCTTGTGCGAAACTCCCATTCCTTCAAGCATGTGGTGCTTAAAATTAAAGCTGGCACCCTGCCCCCACACAGTACCAGTCGCATCACATGTTAAATATGTTTACAGTATTATCAAGATTTGACTGGAAGCCCAGAAACGAGTCAGAGAACATGCGGACGTGTTCCCACTTTCTGTATGCTGCCATCGCAACTTGGCAGTGGATGGCCATGGTCAAAGTCCTCCGACTGCTTGCTTTGGCAGACCAGAAGTCCCATCCGGCCTGTTTCGCTCGCCTGGCCAGGTGAGGACGCTCCCAAGCCAAGGCCATGGTGGCTACCGGTTTGCTTTGCATATGCCAAGCGACACAAAGGTGAACGAGGTCGCAGATCTGGTCGAGTGGCACGTGCTTCATCACCGATCACCGAGCTTCTAGTGGATGCCGATGTTGGGAGTATTGAACTCTTCCAGCAAGCTATAAGCCATTTGAAGGACATGGGCGGCACCGTTCGCACGCAAGTTTTCGCAGAACCGCGGCGAACTGAAAACAAGAAGTGGCGTGAATTTCTGGAAGAGCCTGGCATCACATTCCGAGCGGTTCCTCGTTTGAAGGACCATTCGAGAGAACCCAATGACGAGGCGATCGAAGCTGCGATGCAGAATATTTCCACACGTCGTGGTGTACATCGCATTGCGTTGTTGACGGGAGATGCAGATTTTGTAGATGTCATGATGAAGCTTCAGGACACGAAACCCAGTTATTTGGTGCTGGTTCCTGAGTACAAATCAGGTGTGGCAGCAAAATATCAAGAGAGTGGCTTGAAGGTCATGAATCTGGAAGATACACACGACAACCGTGGCCCATGCGTTCGAGCTATCCTTCATGACGATGGAACTGGCTCGGTCCAACTTGCAAATCCTTACATTTGCGATAGAGTTAGCTATGAGCGTAGATCTGAACTTGTAAAGGGATTTCTGGAAGATTTGAAATACACTGGGCACCTTTCACATGCCTGCGCCAAGTTTTGGTTTACCAATGACCTCGGACAACTCATCGTCTTTCCGGGCGAGCTCGCAACGCTTGCAATCCACAAAGTCATCAAGGAGGCTCCAAAGGCACGATCTTGGCGACCATATTCCGAGCAGTTGGCTTTTCTGTTGCCCATGGGCAAAAGTACTGCAAGCTCACGAAAGGCATATGGGAGTCGGCAGGCACAATCTGTATTCACTGGTGGCGGGCCCTTGATTTTGAAAGATTCCAGACATCTGACATGTCAAGTGTTGAAAAGGCTTGGCTACCTCGATCCGCAGAATGCTGACGAGCACGAAGCCATGTTATGTTTCATCAATTCTGCGACGAACAAGAAATTGCTACAGAAGATGGACCTGCTGCCTGCTCCATCAGACACTCACAGCGATGTGAAAGAGAAGCTGCGGATGGCTTTCCTGTCTGATGCATGCCCACCCCGGTGGCAACGGCAAACAGCACCTGCTGCTCAAATGCAGAACATCGTGACCACTCTCCAGAAAGAGGGTTTCCTTTCAAAGAAAAAGGAACCAACTGGCGAATACTGTAGTGGATATTCGAAAAGCGAGATCTCTGAAGCGATCAAAACCTTCGTGCAAGAGATGCACCTCCCTCCATCCAAGACATTTAATGGCTTGGCCTGGAGGATTCGTTGCCAGCTAACGAGCAATCATCCAACTCACCGGGGTACAGTGGAATTCGGGAGATAGGGAGTCACTAAAGAAAAAAGAGAAGCAATATCGGAAATGGATTCATTCACAACAGTACGATGCGACTTCAAGCACCGCAAATGAGAAAAGAAGACCCAACGATGCGACTTCAAGCTCCTTCAACTCGGTCGATCCGTCGTTGGAGACCCAGCAATTTTCGGATTGATGTCTATTTGGAGAAGGATTTCAAAGCTCCGATTTTCCGGATGTTCTTCAGCTTGGAGAAGGATTTTGTCCACCATCTGCTGTCCCGCAACAGTTTAACCGGCGAAAGAAGCCCGGCATGTCGTGCCAAAGTCCACCATTGCATTGCATACCAAGAAAGGTAAATCGAACCGATAGATAGTCTATATTGGTAGGGTTCCTCACATGTTGTTGATACGTATATGTTCCATTCATTCATCTCCACGGAGGGGTTGTGTTTCTCGAGTTGGCCACAGAAACGCAAAGAACCTGCCACTGTCCATGC